AAGTACTCCAGCTCGTAAAAATCCTCCTCTCATCAATTATTTACAACGTTCTAGTAAAAAACATAAAGATAATGATATGAGATATGGTATACGCAGAAAACATGGTGAATTGCATACGGGTGATTCACCTACTTCATTTGCAAGTGATACAATAAGTATCGAAGGTAAAAATTATCCAATAACTCCTGGGTTGTTGGAATTATTATTTAGAAAATCGCCAGATGATGCACTCATCACCCCAGATGATAAGGATAAGTACTTGGATATAATTCAACATACCAACACTCGTAGGAAAAATTATGATCCAAATCGTTCCATTTATGAAGATATAACAATAAAGTACAATAAATACGTTGCTGATTTTATCACTAAGTTCAGTAAAGGGTTACCAAAATATATGATTGCAAGAAAACAGAGATTACCAATGGATTATGTTTACTGGGATGATCCAAATGAGCTAGTTGATCGTTTGCGACTACTGATGGCATCTCAAGCTGCTGGAAATCCAAGTCACACGAATGAAATCATGTCAATTATTGAAGAGCTTAGGAAGGCTGGAGTTATATATTAAAAGCTTCTAGAAAATAATACCATTCACACGCTGACAGTCAAAGTGTTAAGAACTATGAGCATCGATATATTTGGACGTCCTCTGGACAATGACAAATCGGTTCAACGAGGTCCAGCTGGTAGAGGTTTCAATATAACTTCTGATGGAAACTATAACATTGAGAATAAAAGGCTGTGCAATCTCGGTAATCCTTCAAATGAACATGATGCAGCGACAGTGCAATTTGTACTGAGACAGATGTCTGACTTGAATAAAAGCATAGACAGTGAACAGAAAGAGATTATTTCACATTTGCACTCTGAAATAGTAATATTGAAAGCTGCTGTGACAAATTTACAGACAGCTACTGAGGAAGCTAAAGCAATACTTTCCTCTCACCAGAATAATATCAAATATCTCACTGTGAATCTTAATGAACGACAAAAAGGCAGTGATAGCTGAAGAGCTTCATAAACCAGCTCGTAGAAACTATAAACGTCGTCATGTTGATATCCGAGGTCTCGATGAGACTTGGCAAGCTGACTTGGTTGAGATGATTCCATATGCAACAGTCAATGAAGGATACAAGTATCTGCTTACAATCATAGATATATTTTCAAAGTACGCCTGGGCAGTTCCAATTAAGTCTAAAAGTAGTGTAGATGTCACAAGTGCTATGAAGTCTGTACTTCAGCAAGGTCGTATCCCTAAGAATCTCCATGTTGATCAGGGTAAAGAGTTTTACAACAAAGAATTCAAAGATCTGATGAAGCAGCACAAGATAAATCTGTATTCAACATTCAGCAATCTCAAAGCATCCATATGTGAACGTTTCAATAGAACACTTAAGACTAAAATGTGGCGAGAGTTTACAGCTCGTGGCAGCTACAAGTGGATCGATATACTTGATGACTTGGTGAATACTTACAACAACACCATACACAGTACCATCAAAATGAAACCTGTCGATGTTACCACTGCTCAGGAGAAACAACTATTGGAAAATATATATCAACCACTGAAAACCAAATCGAAGCAGAAGCAGAAGTTCAAAGTTGGAGATAAAGTCTGAATCAGCAAGTACAAGCATGTTTTTGACAAACGATACACACCAAACTGGACAACAGAAATCTTCACAATCAAGTCGGTGCAGAATACGAATCCAACGACGTACAAGCTCGTGGACTATCAGGATCAACCAATCGAAGGCGGATTTTACAACGAAGAACTCAGCAAAGTCAAATATCCAGATGTATATCTCGTTGAAACAGTAATTAGAAAACGTGGAAATAAATACTATGTTAAATGGCTAGGTTATGATACTAAACATAATAGTTGGATCAATAAATCAGATATGTAAAACACAAATTATATTTACATTGTTTTTTATTTACAAAACCTTAATACATAAATCCTTAAAACTATATTTACATTGTTTTTCAATATAACTAATTTTTTTGTCTAATATTATTATTTTCATCGTTATCTTTTACAAGTTTCCGTTTCTTAAAATCTAAGGAGCCTTTATAACCCCAAGGCACAGTATCAGTGCTTGCCTCTGTTATGTCCGAATTAATTATAGTTAAATAATTATTGGTAGAGTGGGCCTTGAGGAGGCTCGGACACGTTTTGAGATAGATTTTCTCTTGTAGACGAGCTACAAGAGTTTTATTTTTAATGTAGGTTTCGAACGCCTCCCGGTAACCAGGAGTTCCAACGGCGAATTTAAAGGGGAAGTCGATATCAAATGCTGAACTCACAGTTGTCTTTATGATTTATATTGTTGATTTGAATTAGAGCTGCCAATCGGTAAATCCTTGGTTGTCTTCATCATCGTCGTCACCATCATCATCACCGTCATCATAATAATCAGCAGCATTAGCATTGTCAACGTTTTCAATATGACAAGAATCTTCATCATTATCCGTAGCTACGGAAGATGCGTTTCCAGTAATATTTTGACTGAAATTTCTTTCTTCACAACCTTCTTCAAACTCATCTTCTGACTCTGATTCTCCAGAAGTTTTGACTATTTGCGATGATTGAGGATCTGTAGACACTCGACTACTTCCGAGCCTCTCAGTTTCATGATTGTTGTCATTGCTAGTACAGCAGCTAGTAGCAAACTCATCTGAGTCAATGGTTGAATTTTGATCATCATCTATCAAAGAAACGTTTCTCCTTAATTATAAGTTTTACTTAAGAAATAGATCAAACAACTAAATAAGCAATAATAACGATAGGTTTGCACAATTCTGATGCATAAATACCTCTCTGTTCATATCTCTGGTCTTTTAATTTCCTTTTCTTGGTAACGTATCTTCCACTAAAATATAAAATATAAAACAATTGGATTATTGACACAGCTTTGAAAATTTAAACTACATGTTAGAATTATTTACAATTAAAATATAAAAGTAACTACTTCCAAATCTGTGAAAATTAATTTCTTACAACATGTGATGTTATTTGCTTTAACTTTTTTTTTATAATTAATTTGTAATTAATTTCTGACAGTTTCAAGAATTAGTGTAAAATAAAAATCAGTGTAAATAAGTTCAGTATCAGAAAAAGTTAAATAACAGAGAAAACATAAAAGGAATTATTTGAAAAATAGTTGTTGAAAACTATTGAGTAAAAAATTTTTAATAAGGTTTTCAAATTAATTTTTTTTTATTTGAATTAAATTATATGGATTTTTTATTTACACTAATTCTTGAAACTGTGAGAAATTAAATGAAAGTTAAGTTAGCCGACTTACAAAAATAAAAAAAATTTTTTTTATTGGAAAAATTGTAACAAAAAAAATAAAAAAAAATTCATTCGTAAAAAACTTTAAAAACTATAAGTGCAATTTTTTAAAAATAATTTTTGGTTCTAATGTAATAAATGAAAAAAAAAAAATCAAAAAGTTAATAAGGTCGGCTAACTTTAGTATTATACAAATTAATTACATGACATTAAAGTTAGTCGTCACTTGACAATTTTTTATGTTATTAAAGCTAGCTGTCACTTGACCATTTTTCAATTTTATTTAACAAAAAAATTTGTTTCGAAAAATTTTTTTTTTAAAATTGCATTTTTAATTTAATCAATTTTCTAAATGTCATTTTTTTCTCAATTTTTTTCCCGTAATTTATTTATTAGAAAAATTATTAAATATCTGATAAATTAATTTTCATCTAATTTTTTAATTTTATTCAACAAAAAAATTTTTCCGAAAATTTATTTTTAATAAATTTCATTTTTTATTTTTTAAATTGCTACATGTCAATTTTTTAAATAATTTGTTTCGGGCCATAATTAATTTGTTAAAAACTTTTTTAAATGATCACATATCTGCTAAATTAATTTTCATATTTTTATATTTATAAAAAAAATTTTTCTAACCTCTTTGTTAGTAGAGGAGCAGGGGGGCCCGAGACACTGGTAAAGTAGGAATCTGCACTACCGACCGAGTGGTTCGTGTCTATGCTAAATTATCGACCATATTTTCGGCCCTTTTTTAAATTTTTATATCCACCATTTTGGCGCCCTTTTTGAATTTTATATCTGCCATTTTGGCGCCCCTTTTTGAATTTTTATACCCACCATTTTGGCGCCCCTTTTTGAATTTTTATTCCCATCATTTTGGCGCTCCTTTTTTGAATTTTTATTCCCACCATTTTGGCGCCCCTTTTTGAATTTTTATACACACCATTTTGGCGCTGCTTTTTTGAATTTTTATTCCCACCATTTTGGCGCCCCTTTTTGAATTTTTATTCCCACCATTTTGGCGCCCCATTTTGAATTTTTATTCCCACCATTTTGGCGCTCCTTTTTTTGACCTGGTGGCCGCCATTTTGACCATATCTACAACCCTTTTACCGCTATTTTTCAGCTACATTTTATCCCCACCATTTTAAAAACTAAATTGATGACGCAATCCTTACTGCGCAATTTACCCTCACTTTTTATCGTGTATTGTGGTGGGGAATCAATGATATGAAGTCAGCTCGCGACCGCGAGATCATCATTCAGTTTTTGTTCTTGAACTTGAACACTTCAAACCGAGCTGTGGAAGCATCTATAAATATTCACCAGGAACTATTTTTGGCCGATAAAATGGATCTACAAGAACTTAACAAAGTCAACTTGTCATCAGGATATCTGCCCACGAAGAAGATTTACGATTTGGAAGAGGGTGAAATCTACAGGATTAGCCAGCTGAAAACAGTACCAACTAAGTTTGGATTGAAATACATCGCAATAATTGAATCGGAATTTCAAATTTTTCTTCCCGCTAAGACTGTTAAATACTTCAACGCTCATGCTGACATCTTTACAAAATTATCAGAAGTTGCAGAGAGTAATTTTCTTTACCTACACTATCATCAAAAGGAAAATAATCTGTTTGAGTTTGTAATAAAATCTTAAATTTACAATAATAAACAATTTTAACATAAAAACTATGCAAGTGTGGTGTCACTGTGTGCACATCGTATCCCCAGACCCAAGTGTTAAAACTGTTTGTCGTGAGTGTTTCAGTTGATGTTTTTTCTTCCGGGGTTGCTTTAAGCGTAGCTGGAATTTTTCGCCACCCTCTCAGATAATAATCTTCATCAGTGGAGTGACTTTTAATACAAATTTTTGCCAAAATAAAACCGTTTCTAACACAAGTAAGGTTAGTTCTATCAAGAGTACGCGATAGACCCTGTCGGTAAAAAAGCAACTTTATCCACAATGGCAACCATCAACTAGTTTCCTGGCCCGTCAACAGGTTGCACTCAGATCGAGAAAGGACAAACACCAAATGATGGATTCTACAACAACAGTCAACTCGTAAATTCTCAAGAGCCAGCCTTCCACATCTACGTAAACAACAGTCCTCCTGAGCATGACTCCTCGCTGGGCAATGACGGGGATCTGAACAATACGGCCATTGATGTTTCCTCCCCTAACTATCTTACAGCCGATGTGAGTCTCCAGGAAGGGAAGCGACGTGGAAGACTTACCAACGCTGAAAGACTGGCAAGGATTGATGATAAGTCGCAAACCAAACTAAACTTAACAAAGAGGAAAGAACGTGATGATGACGTAAGTGATAATTTCTCACGCAAAAAGAACGCTCCCCGCGATGGTGTACATCCATCTCTCTCTCCCCTATATAACGTGAGTCAGTCAACAACTATGGAACCCTTTAATCAAACACCGCCCTTACCTTCTCTGCCACCGGTGAACTCTCTACAAGATTTAGTCAAACAACTCATGATCTGGCGACAAGAGGATAAAAGTAACATGGCTAAATTTAAGGCCGAAGTATTCGAGTGTATCACAAATGAAACGGACAGACTCAGATGTTGGGTCAACCAATTGTCTGAGGAGCTTGCCACAGAATCCACTAACCTTAAAGACGAGATACGCTGTATTAAATCTAGAATTGCTGCGATCGAGAACATACACCCCACGAACCAGGGCTTCTCTCATAAACAGGAACAGAATTTGGTGAATGCAGCAATCGATGAGATTGAACGCAGAAGGAGAAAAAACAATATAATCATCCGCGGCCTCACCAACTTATCACCGTCCTCTTCAGCTTTAGACTCCGCCTCCCGACTCCTGGAACAGAGATTCAGAAAAACGAATGCAGTCAAACAAGCAGACTTCGTAGGTAAAGACAACAACATCATCGTATGCACTTTAGATTCCGCCCAGACAAAAAGAGAAATTATGTTAAACAAGAGAGCGGCTCTGCCCAATTCGGTGTTCATCAACCACGACCGGATCCCAGCCGATGCTGCCACGGATAGAGAAATTAGACTTGAGGCTCAGAGACTCAGGTCTATCGGTAAGCAAGTCAAGCTAGGTGAGCGATCTATTCAAATCGACGGCATATGGCATCAATGGGACAGCTACAACTCCAATGATGTTCCAGCAAACCCCCACAAAACAAGTTCCACCGAACGGGCAAATACTGACACCTTGGCAGCAACTTTACTCCAAAACCGGACACTCGATACTCACAAAAGCAACCCAGGCAACGCAAAACCCAACTACTCCGGCAAGAAACAATTTTTAGCAGGTCCCCGTACTAAGCAAAAAAACGGGGTAGCGTCCAGAATGTTACGACAATAATATTCTGGAATGCACGAGGTCTCCCTGAACCTGAGGTACTACTTAGCCTCAAAGAAGGGACCATCATAAATGTTTCCGAGACATGGCGCACTTCAGGCAAAACTTATCTCCCCTCCTCGCTAGACTCATATAACAAAGTCTGGTCCCCAGCAGTCAAAAATAAAATTTTGGGAAGGCCCAGCGGCGGGCTGCTTACGCTCATAAGCAAGGACTTAACTGCCCTTATTCCATCAACTGCCCTCATCTCAGTGGTGGTTAGCAACTTCAATCACAATCAACGGCATAGACATCATCGTGGTATCGCTCTACCTTAGCCCAAGTAGCAATATCTCTACAATTTTATCTGATTTTAAAGTAACTCTAGATGATATGTTGCTCTCGACTAAATTTGATCTTTTTATCATAGGCGGAGACTTCAACGCCCGGCTGGGAACCCTCAACACAGTCTCACCTGAAGCTGCAGCCGGTTCTCGTGTCACGCTCATAAGACACTCAATGGACACGAAGATTACCCAGAGAGGTACTGTCCTAAACGATTTCATGGAGGAGCATGGATTTGTACTCCTGAATGGCAGATGTCATCCGGACATCCCTAGCAGACACACTTTCTTTGGAGCCCAGGGTCTAAGTGTTGTAGAGTTGGTGTGGGTAAATGCCTCAAGCCTGGATCTTATTTCTGAATTCAGAGTTGATCAAAGTTCTTACAGATCAGACCATTACCCCATCACAGTCAAGATAGCCACAGGCACGCATGGGCCACGCACGGCGTCTCCTCCAACCGCTCGACGTACAGTTTCCCGCCTAAAATGGGACCAGAGTGCGGCTCCGACGTTCCAACACGCAATGAGGTGGTCACCACTAGCTATGTTCGTCAACAAGGACATGAGTGCTAACTCCTTGAACGCGAATCTCGTGAAGGCGATCCAACTGGGTGCTGAGTCTTCGGAGTTAATCTCAACCAGCTCCAACGCACGTAAACCACTAACTCACAAGCCTTGGTTTGATGTTGACTGCCGGTCTGCAAAACGCCAACTAATGGAACTGCACAGCATCTGCAGAAGCCACAACTTCTCCTATCCCTCTAACAATGGCAAATTTCTCCAGCTAAGAGCCTCCTATCAAAAACTTGTAAGTGATAAGAAAAAAAAACTACAGGAAAAAAGTTGCAAATGACTTTGCGTCGGTCACAGACGTAACAAAATTCTGGGCTGTCGTTCGTTCGGTCAAACGAGTAACTGTGTATACCCCCTCACTGCCCATCTCGACCTGGGACAACTTTTACGCCAATATTTATCCCTCTCGCATCATCTCCGAGCTCAAGATGTTTCCTGACAACGAAAACCCTGCAATTGAGCAACCATTCTCTTTTAAAGAAGTAAAGAACTGCCTCAGGAGACTCAAGAGTGGGAAATCACCAGGCTGCGACGGGATTCCCAACGAACTTCTGAAAAATCTTCGTACGAACTGGATACTATACATCCAAGCTATGTTCAACCACATCTTAGAAATCGGAGGAACACCAGTCTGCTGGTCTGAAGTCATACTCACAATGCTACATAAAAAAGGCGACGTAAATGATCCCAATAATTTCAGAGGTATCGCTCTGGTGAACTGTATAGCAAAAGTTTTTACACAACTGGTTAACCAGAGACTTGTATCCTGGGCTGCTGACAACAATCTGATACCGGAAGAGCAAGCTGGTTTTTTAAAGGGCCGTGGATGCCAAGACAATGTATTAACACTGGATACTGCTCTCCAAATTTACCTACGACAAAAGGGCGCTTCGTGCTTCGGGCTATTTGTTGACTTCCGTAGAGCTTTTGACTTCATTCCCCATCATCTTCTTTGGCCCAAACTTCTTAGCATCGGCCTCAGCAAGAAAATTGTCAACATCCTACGCTGCATCTACGACAAAACAACACTACGAGTCAGATCAAACGGGGATTTCTCTAAACCTGTGGAAGTTACGACTGGGGTATTCCAGGGTGAAACCCTGAGCCCCTTGTTATTTATTCTATTCATCTCTGATATAGTCTCCTTTTTCAGAGACAAAGGCCTAACCGGCCTGCAACTTAATGGACTACGCGACCTTTTAATGCTGCTGTATGCCGACGACCTAGTCATCCTGCTCAGAAGACAAATGGATGTACTTAAAGCACTAAGAGCCTTTGAGGAGTACTGCTCTAGGAACGGGCTAGAAGTAAATGCGGAAAAAACCAAGCTCGTGCCATTCTCCAAAAGTGGGTTCCGCAAGAAATTTCCTAAATCCTTTATCTACAAGAATTCTGCAGTTGAAGTTGTCAACTCATACGTCTATCTAGGAACAACGTTTACAACAACTGCTACTGGACGACGCGCTGCCTTGGATGCCGTTAAAAAATCCAATGCAGCATGTAGCGTCTCCCTCGGCATACTGATTAGACTGCATGCGGACTCGTGGGCCGGGAAGCAAAAAATCTATGGTGCAATTGTCCGAACATCTCTTCTGTACCTAGCTGGAATCTGGGGCCTTGAACATCTTGAAACTATCGAAAAAGCGCAAGTCGGCTTCTTCAAGAGGTTGCTCCAACTACCTCGGTGTACCCCAGAATACGCCATACGGCTAGAAACATGAGTTCCCCCACTCGCCGCCCAAGTCTTTGACGCTGCCCTTCGTTGGACGACGAGGATTCTAAAAATGGACAACAACCGACTGCCAAAAGTATGCTTTTTGCGACTCTTGGAACTATCGAACTTAGAAAAACAGCATACAGCAGTAAATAACTGCCCTCGGAACTGGGTCTCTCAGCTCAGAAGCATACTTTACGTCTTGGAACATGAACACCTCCTCGATAAATTAGCACCTGCAGTCTGGGAGTCTAAAAGAAATGACCTGGTCTCTGGTTATACCAGACTTCTCCAAAAAGCGGACCTGGAGCGATACAATAACTCCAGCAGTTGCCAAATTATTTTACCACAAGCTCCCAGTTACTCTGCAGCTAAATATCTCAAGCGCTGCCCATACTATGCTCTTAACATCAAAGCACAGCTCAGACTGGCCACCGTCCATGCTTGCAATCTCACAGTCAACGGAGTAGTCTATAAACTTTCAGCCCAGTCATCCTGCCTCGTTTGTACTATGAACACGCCAGAAACTACGACACACTTCATCTCCATCTGCCCGAGATACGCCGCTCTTCGTTTGAAATACCTTGCACCTCTAAGCCCAACTATCGACCTGATCGAGATCCTGTCATCGTATTCTGCAAGCAGCACCAAAGCGCTCGCGCACTATACGATCGAATCATTAAAGCTCAGAGCAAGAATCCTTGCCACCGTGACTACGTCCACCACCACCGCCTGAACTCATGGAGACTCCAGCACCGTCATACTTGCCTACTTCTATCCAGCTGCCTAACTTTTTAACACAATCAATAGTACTATTTCTTTTAATCTGGTTTCTTAATTTTGATTTGTGATGCAGTGTACTTAAAACTCAATTTTCATTGCGTTTACTCTATGCAATTCTTAATACACCACTACTTGTTAGGAAAAGTACTGTAGGACCACCCCCTACACATTTTCCTCAACTCTTGTAAATAAATATTAATAAACATAAAAACTATGATTTTGAGCCTTTACTTATTCATCCTTACTCAACTTTATCAATTTGTTTTAATCAATAGATATTAATATATAGTCTTTCGTGTAATGTTTTCAAGTAGGTTGTCAGTAAATATGTCACAAATTAGTTTTAAACATTGTTTTCTTCAATTAAAATTTTATCTGGTATCAAAATTCTCATTAACTCGGAAACTGTTGTTTCTAAGCAGTTACTTAAAATTTGGACATTTATAAATACAATCTTATAATCTTTGCAATTCTTTGGTAAATATTTTAGAAACTTTTTCTTCACCAAGATAATTTTTTTTCCAAAGTTTGTTCCAAATAGTTTTCAATTCATTATTGAATTTATTTTTTAATTCATGAATTAAGTTATCCATTGTTAGTGTTATTATATTATTTTATTAAAAATCAATTTTCTTTATTTGAAAAATCTACTTCCATTTCGGCTGCCGAATGGCCTTTTTTTTTTATAACAAGTTCTTATTCTTAATAAATAAAAAAATACATACGACACAAAACATCAACAACAAACATAACCTATACAATATTCAGGTGCATGCGTGTAGCGCACGCATAATTTACTTCACTGTGATGTGAAATCTACATCACGGTGATACAATATACAATATTTGTATCACCTCAAACCAAAACGAACGCCACTGGTACAATCAGATTTTTACATCATGAGTGGTGCAATTTTTAAATCATCTTTTTTTTCCGTGTATAACGATAATCGAGATTCCCGCAGTTCCGGTGACCTGGTCCCATCTAAATTATATTTCTTCTTTTGTGAATTATAATCGGCGAACTTTTGTTTGCTGGAGTCGTTACTCCGGTTACGAACTCATATACTTTTAACCTTATTTATATTGTTAGTAGTTAATAAGTGAATAGTGTAAATTAAGACGTGTTTGCCCCATAGGGCCATTTAAACAGAATATATATAAACTAAAAACCCGAATTGAAGTGTTTCATCATTCATAAGATAAGAACCTTCAACCTTCAACCTCCAGTCCAGCAGGAGGAAGAAAGCAGCCAAGATAAAGGTACAACGACCAATCAAAGGCCGAATCATCGTTGGAATCAAGATTCGCAATAGTAAGTGGAGGCTATTTTATTATTTCCGAGGTCGATTGTCTTATTCAAGGGGCCCTCTTCAGGGTTTTCACCTTCGCGAACCCATAAAATAAAAATTTAACGATTCTTTCGTTAGGGAAATTCATCTGTTATCCGAATCTCCGTTAGTGAAAATTCGTCAAATAAGTGAATATTCACTTAACTTAAGTGCCAATCGAGCCACTTTTTCAAGTCAGTGGCTCGGTTCTCACTTAAATAAGTGAATATTCACTTATTCATGTTTAGAGAGTACTTATTAGTTTGCTCATCTTGTTGTGAAAGACAATGATCAATGAGTATATTGAAGAGGTTCAATCTCATATTTATATCAAATCAAAATTATCAAGTGAATAATCTTAGTAAATCATAAAATTAATGACAACGTTATGATGAACTTCTTGCTTAATTGAAATCGCAACTGTTTATGAGGATGATAATTTTCCATAAACCTAAAATTTCGAAATATCGAGAAGAGTAATGATAATTTCTTGGAAAATTTCACATAATTTTGATTAGTTTTTAATAAATAAGTAAGTCATTAATCAAAAAATGTTAATTATTATTGTAAATCTGTGTGGTATACAACTTTAATATTTCACAGATTTCTTTTTACTTAAAGGAGTTTCAAGAGTCAATGAAGTTTGCGGACAAGTGATCCTTTGTTGTTGTTTAACATCTGAATTTTGAGCGATTGTATTTGATCCTGATGTGTACAGTGAATTTCTTTGACGTAGCATATGTGGCAAAGGTTTAATCAAGGCTTGAAGTTCACAAAGAGGATCGGATGAGCTCTCGATTTGCGTGGGGTAGATAGGAATTTTATTTGACATTAGTGGAGATGAAGTATAGCTGTTCGTATGAGGAATACGAAGAGATAGAGTTCCCGAGGATGATGAGTTCTGGCAATGGAGAATTACTTCAATTAAAATGCAATTGTTGATGTTTTTAAAATAAAGAATATACTTACGGGTAATTTATTGCAATTTGGAGACAAAAGAAAATTCGGTGGTTGCAGAGGATAAGGTGAGGATGTACTGAAAGGTGTCCTCTGAGTTTGATATGGACTAATATTGTGCAACCTCTCAAGAAGTTGAGCTTGAAAGTGTATTTGATCATTGGAAATATAAGGCTGATCTACCCTCTTGGTGGAATACACTTCAGGTGTGTAAGTGCATGTAAAAGACGGCGCCTCCAAATCCCAGGGTGAATTATACACTGGTGTCCATTGTGACTGCTTCGAAGAAAGGTGTATTGTTACGGAGTATTAGACTACACCGCGAAGACAAAGAACGTTAGTATGACACAAGGATTCTTCTGCAATTGCGAGATATAAAATGCTAGAGCGATTACTGCTGATGCTCATTTTCATAAGCATATTGCTATTGCGATATCACGTAGCGTTTATTGAGGTTAAATCCAAAAAACCTGTGTGAAGATGTCCAGTATTTATTGCGGAGTCATCGTGGTAATATTATGGAGATATTAAGCTAGACGCAAAGGAATTTATTATTTTCAAAAGCGCCATTCAATATAGCATCGAGTAGTCGCAGCACTCTAATTTTCATGTCGCTCTTATTATATTATCTGTTATTTAAGCAATTGTCATTTATATACATATTTGTGAAGCAATCTCTCTTTTGATGATAAATTACATATATACATATAAGGCATTCGCTCTTTTCAATTCGACTGAAATTTTTTTTTAATGAAACTTTAAGAAAAAAATTTTCGATATTGAATGAACAAAAATTTTCAGTTTTTGAAAGAAAGTCATTAATTTTTTCATATTTGCAACCATTAAATCGATAATTTACTTTGTAATTAATGTTGCCTATTTCAGAATGAATCGATTTTTAACTTCCCGCTAAGAAAATCGACGATTTTCAAAAATCGGGAAGTTATTGTTTTCACCCCGTTTTGCAAAAATCGAGTTTTCATCAGATCTCGATGTTTGAAGGTCATAGGAAGCTTCCCTGACTACTCCCGCGAGGTTGTCACTGTGTGTGTGTGTGTGTGTGTGTGTGTGTGTGTGTGTGTGTGTGTGTGTGTAAAAGTATGTGAATCGCTTATAACTTTTGAACGGCTCATCCGATTTTATCGCGATTGGTGCCATTTGAAAGGGTTTGGCCAAACTTAGATTTTAAGTATAATTTGGACCGATTTGAATCAGTAGATTTTGAGAAATCTTAAAAAAACTAATAAAAAAAATTTTTTCGAATGTGGTTTTTTTTTGGATAACTTTCAACCGGCTCTACCGATCGATTTCAAAAACTATTCAGCTCTAGATAATAAAAAACCACGTCGATCGCCACCAAGCTGGTCGAAATCGGTTAATTTGTTCGAGAGATATCGTGAACGAAAGAAAACCGAAGAAAGTGTTTTTTCGAAATTACTCCGAAATTCATGGTTCGATCAATTAAAACCTGAAAATTTTTTATGACGCTGATAAAACTGCGTCGAATGCCGCCAACCGCGTGAAAATCGGTTGACCCATTCAAAAGTTATTGCGGTTTGAAAATTCCAAAAGTAGTGTTCTATGAAACTTTCATCAGACTTTTGAGCTCGAAGAGCTCAAATGCATAGAAATACTATCTCTTTGAGTTCAACGAGCTCAAAATATCACATAAATTATATTTTGAGCTCAAAAATCTCAAAAACGTCATAAGTACAATTTTAAGTGCCCAGGTATGGAATTAGCGGGAAGTTGCAGGGATGGCCTTTAGGGTGAACCGTTTTACTAATTTTTTTTTTTTTTATAATATGATTTAATAACATTACGTAGAAAAACTCCTATTTTTTTAAGATATACATATTCGAGCAATAAGTCAATAGATCCCTTCTCTTAATAATTTTTTAAACATTACTAAATTTCTTGCATTTTTTGTGTCTATA